GTGCGGGGGGGGGGGGGGAGGTGCAGCAGCAGGCCGCGCGGCGGGTGAGGGCGGCGGGGCGCGGCGGCTGCTGCTGCTGCTGTTGCTGCAGCGAACACGGGCACGCTGCTGCTGCCAGCGGCGCGCTGCTGCTGCTGTGCTGCAGCAAACTCCGGGCTGCTGCTGCTGCTGTGCTGCAGCAAACTCCGGGCTGCTGCTGCTGCGCTGCAGCAAACAACGCGACGCAACTGTAGCTAACTACTACTCGCTGCTTCTGCAGCTAATACTGCGCTGTGCTGCAGCAAACCACACGCTGCTGCTGCAGCAAAACACGTTTCTTCCCGCAGCTACGAAAAACGCCTTTGCTGCTGCTGCTGTTAGTTGCTGCAGCAGCAAAAGGAGCCTCCCTCGCTTCGGCTCCGCCTCGCAGCAGCAGCTGCTGCTGCTGCTGGTGTACGTACACCCGCGCACTGCAAACCCTCAAACCCTAAACCCTAGCAACGCAGCCCAGCTGTCTGTACACCCCAAGTAGTCCCCTAAACGCTCTCTTTTAAGAGTCTCTTCGGTCTCTTTTTAAACCCTAAAAACCTGCAGCGGGCCCCACACTGCCAGTTTGCTGCTGGGGGCCCCTGCGCCGCCAAAAGGGGGCCCCCGGGGGCCCCCTGAGGGGCCCCCGGGGGCCCCTCAGAGGCCCTTAGCAGAAGCCCTCCTACACACACCGTGGGGGCCCCAGCTGGGGCCCCGGGGGCCTCCAAAGGGGGCCTCTGGGGCCCCCCATTGGGCCTTCTCGGGGCCCCTTTTGGGGGCAAAAGCAAAGACCTTAAAAGTCCCCTTGAGAGGGGCTGCAAGCACTCCCCTGGGGCCCCATTTTGGGCCCTTGGGGGCCCCATTTGGGGCCCCTAGTGGTCCCACTTTTGGGCCCCTGGGGGCCCCTTTTGGGGCCCCAGGGGCCCTAAAAAAGGCCCCAAATAGGGCCCTTGGGGCCCCTCTTGGGGCCCCCGCTGGGACCCAAAAGGGGCCCCAGGGGGCTTCCCGAGCTGGGGGCCCACAGAAGCCCAGGGGCCCCCAGGGGCCCCACCTGGAGGCCCTGGGGGCCCTAACTGAACTGTAGAGACACCCTGTGGGGCCCCTGAGGGCGGCCCCTTGGGGGCCCCTTGGGGGCCTCTTTGGGGCCCCTGAGGGGGCCCCTTGGGGGCCTCTTTGGGGCCCCTGAGGGGGGCCCCTTGGGGGCCCCTTGGGGGCCTCTTGGGGGCCCCTGAGGGGGGCCCCTTGGGGGCCCCTGAGGGGGGCCCCTTGGGGGCCCCTTGGGGGCCTTTCAAGAGTTGAAGGCCCAACTAATCAAAAGGTGCTGTCACGCAGAAATAGGCGGAAAGGAAGAGGCCCCAGAGGGGCCCCCTCTTAGAGCTGAGACGCTGACTGTGGCTGAGTCTGCTGCAGCTGGAGGCTCTGCTGCTGCTGCTGCTGCTGCTGCTGCTGCTGCTGCTGCTGCTGCTGCTGGTCTGCGGACGCTGCTTAAAGGGGCTGTCTTTGCGGGAGCCCCGGTTCCCACTGGGTCTGTTGCTTCCTCCTTGAGGGCTTGAGGTGGTGCTGCTGCTGCATCCTGCGCTGCTGCTGCTGCTGCTGCATCCTGCGCTGCTGCTGCTGCTGCTGCATCCTGCGCTGCTGCTGATGCTGCTGCATCCTGCGCTGCTGCTGCTGCTGCTGCATCCTGCGCTGCTGCTGCTGCTGCTGCTTTACTTTCAACTGGCTTTGCTCCTGCTGCTGCTGCATTGCCGGCAGCTTCAGGTTTTGACTGAGGAGGAGCCACAGGGTTGGCGGCGCTCGCAGCAGCAGCAGCAGCTGCTGCTGCTGCTGCTGCTGCTGCCCCAGCGTGTGCAGTATGAGCAACAGAGGCTCCTGCAGCTGTTGCTGCAGGGGGCTCTGCTGTTGCGGCTGCTGCAGCAGCAGGTTCTGCTGCTGCGACTGCTGCAGCAACAGCAGGAGTAGCGGCAGCGTTGGCCGCAGCAGCAGGAGAAGCTTCAGCTGCAGCAGCAACGCCAGCAGCAGCTGCAGCAGGAGCAGCAACGGGAGCAGCAAATGCAGCAGCAACAGGCCTTCCCGGCAGCAGCAAGCTGCAGCGGGCCATGAGTTTATAAAAGTGATTGTAAGCAGGGAGGGACCTTCTCTTTCTTTGCTGCAGCTGCAGCGGCTGTGGCTGGTGCTCTTGCTGCTGCAGCTCCGGTTGCTGCAGGTGCTGCTGCTGCTCCTGCTGCGGCTGCTGCAACTGCTGCAGCCGCTGCTGCTGCTCCAGAAAGGCTGATGGGGACTCAGTAAGGGCCGCATTTGCGGGAGCCCCTGCAGAGAGGCCAGGAGGCCCCAAGGCTGTGGGAGCAGGCACTGCAGCAGCAGCAGCAGCAGCAGCAACTTCTGCTGCTGCTGCTGCTGCTGCAGCTGTGCGTTTGCTGCCAGCACCTGCAGGCTTGGGGCCTGCTTCCCTACCTGCTGCTGCCCCATAAGAATGTCCTGGGGCAGATCGCCTTCTGAGGGCCTCCCCAGAACTCCCCCTAGAACCCCAAGAAGAGGGCCCCCCTCTTGTTTGCTGCTGCTGCTGCTGCTGCTGCTGCGCTGCAGGGGACCGCTCGAGGGGCCTGCGCGTGTTGCTGCTGCGGCGGGCCTTGCGCTGCAGCACACGCAGCAGCAGTGTCTGCAGCTGCAGCACCAGCAGCAGTAGCAACAACTGAAGCAGCAGCCGCAACTGCAGCAGCAGCACCAGCAGCACTACCAGCAACTGCAGCAACTGGGGCAGCAGCAGCAGCAGCAGCAGCAACAGCAGCGGCAACAGCAGCAGCAGCAGCAGACGCCTGTGGGGCCCCGGGCTCACTCCCCCTGCCAAATCAAGTTCGCGAGCGATGGTCCAGACGCTGCCTTTCCTGACGTGCTGCAGCAGACGCAGCAAGCCCCGGCGAGCAGCAAAACTCAGCAGCAGCAGCAGCAGCAGCAGCAGAACCAGCAACAAAGCAGAGAGAGCAGCACGATCATCAGCGGCAGTAGTAGCAGCAACAGCGGGACCAGCAGCAGCAGCAGCCGAACCAGCAGCAGCAGCAGCTGAACCAGCAGCAGCAGCAGCCGAATCAGCAGCAGCAGCAGCCGAACCAGCAGCAGCAGCAGCAGCAGCAGCAGCAGCAGCAGCAAACCTTGAGGGGCTCAATGTAACAAGAGGCCATATCTGGAGAGCGAAGGCGAAAGAGCCAGCCGTGCTCGGGGTGTCTGTACCGCCCCACAACTTTCGCCCTGCACAGCAGCACAGCAGCACAGCAGCAGCAGCAGCAGCAGCAGCAGAATTGGAAGGCTGTCTTTCTTTCTCTTGATGCTTTTCTTTTTATTCTTTCAATTTATTTGTTTATTCCTTTCCAGCGAGCTGCACAAAACGCCGCCTCGCAGCCAGCCCCCAGCGAGCTGAGGTGTACGTACACCCCAGCCAGCGCCTCCCCGCTGAGGTGTACGTACACCGCAGCTGGCGAGGCCTCAGCTCGCCTCTGGGGTGTACATACACCTCAGCCCCCCCCTCTGGGGTGTACATACACCTCAGCCCGCGGCTCTGGAGTGTACGTGCACCTCAGCCCCCGCCTCTGGGGTGTACATACACCTCAGCCCGCGGCTCTGAGTGTCCGTACACCTCAGCTCGCATCGCCGAGGTGTACGTACACCTCAGCCCCCGCCTCTGAGGTGTCCGTACACCTCAGCCCGCGGGTCTGGGGTGTCCGTACACCCGAGCCTCTAGGGTGTACGTACACCGGAGCCTCTGGGTGTCCGTACACCCGAGCCCCTGGAGTGTCCGTACACCCGAGCCTCTGGGGTGTACGTACACCCGAGCCCTCGCCTGAAGATCTGTGCACCTCTGGGGTGTCTGTACACCCGGGCCTCACCTGAAGCTGTGTGCAAGTCTGGGGTGTCTGTACACCCCAGCTCTCACCTGAAGCTGTGTGCAAGTCTGGGGTGTCTGTACACCCCAGCTCTCACCTGAAGATCTGTGCAAGTCTGGGGTGTCTGTACACCCGAGCCTCACCTGAAGATTTGCGCGTCTTGGTGCGCCGCTTTGCTTTCGACCCATTCGCCCACTGCGGGCGGCGGCAACTCCGAAATGGGCCGCGAGGCCTCCAGCGCCACGTAGGCCATGTCCACCACTGCAGCAACAGTGTACAGACACCCGAGCTGCAGCAGCAGCAGTGGACACCCGAGCTGCAGCAGCAGCAGTGGACAGACACCCGAGCTGCAGCAGCGGCAGTGGACAGACACCCGAGCTGCAGCAGCAGCAGTGTGCAGACACCCGAGCTGCAGCAGCAGCAGTGTACAGACACCCGAGCTGCAGCAGCAGCAGTGTGCAGACACCCGAGCTGCAGCAGCAGGAGTGTACAGACACCCGAGCTGCAGCAGCAGGAGTGTACAGACACCCAAGCTGCAGCAGCAGCAGTGTACTGACACCCAAGCTGCAGCAGCAACAGTGTACAGACACCCCACAGACAAGCAGCTGGACAGACACCCCACAAACTACTCCCAGCTGCACAGACACCCCACAGACGCGCAGGTGTACAGACACCCCAGCTTCCCACGGGGAAGTTCGCAATTAAAGAAAAAGAAAAAGCAAAAGGCGCTCTTTTAATGCCGCATTTTAGCGCTGCTGAGGTGTACGTACACCCCAACACGCTCAGCTGTACGTACACCTCAACGCGCCGAGGTGTACGTACACCCCAGCGCAATGAGACATGCCGAGGCCGCACCTCCAGAGCATGAACAAAATAAAAATAAATAAAATAAAAATAAAAACAAATAAAACAAATAAATATAAATATAAATATGAATATGAATATAAATATAAATATAAATATAAATATAAATATAAATATAAATATAAATATAAATATAAATATAAGAAAGCAGCAGTTGAGCAAGACTGGAGAGGTGAGGAGCTGAGGTGTACGTACACCCGTTGGCCACGAGGGAATAGTCAGCAGAAGGCCGCAGGTCTTCTTCTGGAAGTGGTCCTTCTTCGTCTTCATCATCATCTGCTGCTGCTGCTGCTGCTGCTGCTTTTGCTGCTGTTGCTGCTGCTCTTGCTGCTGCTGCTGCTGTTTTTTCTCCCGCTGCTGCTGCCTCGGGCGCCTCTGCTGCTGGCGTTGCTGCTGCTGGCTGCTTCTCTACCGGCGAGGATGCAGAAGCAGCAGCAGCACAGCCTGCTGCCTTCTTATCAGCTGCAGCAGCAACTGCTGCTGCTGCTGCTGCTGCTGCGCTGCTGCCTGCGTTCTCGGGCCGCATGTTCTCATCTGTATGCACCAAAGACTGCAGGGTCTGTACAGCCAGCACAGCAGGGGCCGCGGAAAGGGTTTAGGGTTTAGGGTTTGGGGTTTAGGGTTTGGGGTTTAGGGTTTGGGGGGCTAATGGAGCAGCAAGCAGACGAAATTGGAAGCTAATCGGCAGCAAACGGGAAAACAGCTGAGGGGCCAGAATGAGGGGCAGCAGCAGCAGCAGCAGCAGCGCGGAGGAGACAGCAGCAAGACACGGAGACACAGGGACTGTGTGTAGCGCTTACTTCGGTCGCTGGACCTGCAGCAGCAGCAGCTGCTGCTGCTGCTGCTGCAGCCGTTGCTGCAGCACCTGTTGCTGCTGTTGCTGCTTCTGCTGCGTCCATTTCTCCCGGCTTGTCCGAGGCGCGAGGTGTAGAGACGCTGGAGGCGCAGCAGCAGCTGGGGTGTACGTACACCTCAAGTTAGGAAAGACACAGGGAGCGGCTGCAGCTGCTGCAGGAAATGTTAGATGCAGCAGCAAGCCCTGGGCTATCCAAAAGGGAAATAAACAAAAATAACAAATAAAAACAAATAATTAATTAAAATAATTAATGCAAAACTGCCCTTTTAAGCCAAACACACACAGGCCTCCCGATGGGGGCGCAGGCTCGAGAGAAGCCGAGAAGCGCTGGGGTGTCTGTACACCTCAGGCAGGAGAGTTAAGAAGTAGGGCTTCAGTTTATCTCTAGGGCTTGCAACTTAAATTCAGATTTTATTTTTCAAATTAAAAGAAATGGAGAGAAAAGAACTCGAAACAAACACGCCAGCGCCCCCACGGGGTGTACAGACAGCAACACAGCCCCAACCCCGGAGCGCATGCACATTGCAAAGTCTTCAGAAAAGTCCCAAAGCCGCAATTTAAAGATAAATTCTTTTCTTTTTACTTTTTTCTCTATTTTTATTTAATTAATTCAATAATTAAATGCTAAGTTGTCATCTTTTCACGCAGACACCTCATAGCCTCCGCATACCCCCAGAAGATAAATGGGTCCACTATTTATTTATTTTATTATCTTAAGTAGGTCCACGGTTATTTTTTAATTATCTATTTATTCCTTTACCCAAATAAATGATTTGCCAAATAAATGATTTGGTTCGTCTTGTGGATTGTTTAGTGGACAACAGGGGCGTCGCGCGGTGTACATACACCACACAAAATATGAAAGCGCATGTAAAACTAATGTTGGAGTTCTACTGGGAAATCGAATAATAAGCATATTAGGATTATACATACATATATATATATGCACTATATGTGCAAGCATAAATAAATAAATAACAGTAAAAATGGAAATATATATTGTATACTACAAGCTATCACGTTGAGCGTCCATACACCTCATTCTGCACAGCAATGCATGCGCTCGTTATATGTGTGTAAATATATAAGGCTGGACAATAATTTGGCACTCTGAAGTCATTTTATTGGCACTGATTCGATAATTAAAAAGGCATTGTAAGAATATCTTTGTCTTATAATGCTCCTTTTAAAAAGGCACTAAGTTAATAACCTTGCTAATGCCACAAAGGCCCTTTTTGAAGCATCTTTTTTGCACTATAAAGGCATTATGATGGGCATTCATTATAACATTACAAAGGCATTAGAATTAGAATTCATCAGAATATTCAAGAGGCATTTTAACATGCATTCGTTAGTATATTTTAAAGGTATTATAATGGACATCCGTCAGAATATTAAAAAGGCATTATGTCCTTCGTCTGTGCAAATGCAGTAAAGAATTATGCAAAAATAAAGACACAATTAGTTCAGTGCAAATATAAAATTCTGGGATCTTTGCGCCTTTTCAACCTAAGAGACTTGCCCCTTTTAACAAAGAAAAATGAATGTTTTCGGCTTTTTTAATCTTTTTTTGTCTCCTTTATATTCTTTACAGCCTTTAGAGCCTTTATTTGCATGCTCAAAAGGGCTGAAGTTCAATATAAATGATTATTCTGGACTTGCATGCAGATGCGCAGCATAACTTTTTGAGTGTATGTACATTTGCACAGTACATAAATGTACATATGTGCATGCATGCATATATATATGCATATAATATATATATATACGTGCGTCCATATATGTACATATACATTTGTACATTTGTACAACTCTATATACAGCACATACTATGTTTATATATCTGTACATTTATATATACATATATAAATGTACAGATATATAAACATAGTATGTGCTGTATATAGAGTTGTACAAATGTACAAATGTATAT